TGTGTGTGCCTGTTGTGTGTGTGTTTCGTTGGTAGTATATATATATACTATATTATTATAAGTAATAATAAATTAAATAATATAATATATACGTATATATATATAATAATAATAAATAAATAAGTATATATATATATATATATATATATATATATATATATATATATATATACATATATTGTATCCATATATATGCATATTCGCATGCATATTGGTATATATTTATATTTAATATCCGATACCCGAGGGGTTTCAAATTATTACGCCTCAAGTAATCTACCCATCAAATTTTGGTTCATAGTGTTCTGTGAGACCTCTGTTCTGAGTAGACTGAGCGGTATGGCCCCTGCTCATTTCGGTAAGAGGAGAAGTGGTCTACAAATGGGCTATTTATCGCACAATGATGAGAAAAGTGAGAATGTTAGCAAGCAGACAAAAATATCTTCGCCAAATATGTTCATGGCTGTGCCTACGATCTATGCGAAATTGCTGCAAAGACATCGAGCGCTACTAGCCAACGAAGCGTATGTTGAATCAAACGACTTGTACGTGATATGTATGAGGGTGCTCGGGGTTTCATGTTATCACATGTTTGACGTGGGGGTCTGATGCCTGTGTGTAATCAATAGAGTAACTGCTGGAGTGGGAATGATGCAGGTGTTTCAAATTTTATCCTGACAAACATTCAGACATGTTTTACTGCGCGTTTATGAAATGGGATTGAGAGATGTTCATATGCAGCAATGATTTTTATGAATAATGATATGGGTACGGTTCCCCCGAAGCTAGTGTTTTAGAGTCTGGTGTATCGGATGTTTTAACTCAATATGTAGCTCGAACTGTCAGAATGCAGGAGACTGTGCAGGCTAAGCCCACAGCCTCACGTGCTATTGTTTAAAAACAGCTTGGAATTTAACACATCATACGGTCACTTCTCTTCCAAAAAGTGCTTACAATTTCTTTCGTATGTATTTAAATCTTCAGGGATGTGTCTGCAGAACTTCACGACAAACTGAAGCAAAACCTGCGCCTCATGACAAGTGGCTCTGCACCTCTTCCGATATCAGTCATGGATGAGTGGAGGCGAGTTTCGGGACACACGCTGTTGGAGCGTTACGGTAGGTGCTGCGAACAAAATTTAATGATTCAATTAGTGTTTGTGTGTATTCACATGCCAGAAAAGTGTATATGTATACAATGCACATGTATATATGAATATAAATGCAAACACAAGTGTTATAGCACATTGATTTAAATACCATCATAATGTACCTTCAGACTAAGTCTGGCATCAATTCCAATACAGACTTGCGCGCACCACACTATTGACAGTCCATACTCCGCCGCACATGCACAGGCATGACTGAGACGGGTATATGTATATCCAACTCGTATGAGGGCGAGAGGGTCCCTGCCGCTGTCGGAAAGCCCATGCTTGGTGTCGAGGCAAGAATAGCAAACGTCGATAATCTCGAGGTTGTGCAGGATATCGCGGACGGTAGGTATTGACATCGTTTGCTTCCAATATGGATTTCTTTTGCTTCCAATCGCGAAACGTGTTATATATGGACATGTTATGTAGAAGAAACCTCGAAATGTACCGCAGCGTGACTCTGCTTGGCGCGGAGGCAAGGATTACAAAGGTCGCCTATAAACCCTATTTAAAGGGCGTGTGGATATATTCATACGATAAGTAAGCTCTCTTGTCATGATTTTTTTTTTCGTGTATAATGTTGACGCGTTGTATCCCAAAGATATGTGTACATAACCTGTAGTTCCATCAGCGTCTGTCTTTGTATGAAACCTATCCTCAGAGCGTTTGAAGCGTCTGGGTTGAGTGTAGTATGTTGGGCCCAATGACGTAAGCCGTGCGTCATTTGCGAGTTTCAGCCCTGTACATTGTAAACAGCCATTCACCCCCACGCACGTGATCACAAAGTTACGGCCCGCAACTGTGTGAGTAGTCCTAAAAGAGTGTAGTCTGGTAGTGAGCACACCAAAACATTTGGTGGCCATGAACGTATCAGTGCATTCATAGTTCAAGTTATAAACGATGCTGATACGATTCATATGGCTGTGTTAGTAGAGTCTGTACAATTCATATGGGAGACCTTCAGACCAGTGGCGTATTTGGCAGGTTTTAACTGTTCCTAATACTGGGCACCAGGTGCACCAGGAAATTTAGAAGCGTCTCAGACTATCTTTTAGATCATCAGTGTGTTGTTCTCCTCTATTTTTTTACACAAAGGTGAATTCCGGTATACCTCTCATTTGGGACGCTGGTATGTTTAGAGAGTACTGTTGCGCTATTCAGGTCTCCCATACATTATTGCGCGACTCTGAGATACTGCCAAATCGGGGGCACGGGTGTGTTTATTGAATAATGGGGTGGTGCGTATGTAACCGCAGCAGCCTATATTCATAGGTATTGAGAGTCCGATTCTCTGGTTCTCACGTACGTATTTCACGCACTGCTCATGCCATACATAGGTAAATCTGGGATAATCCTAAATCAGGTGTGTTGGCGTATCTAGCGAATAACGAGGTATGCAGAGACCGATTCTGTGTTTCTCACATACGTATTTCACGTACTAATTATCCCATACATAGGTGAATCCGGGATACTGCTGATCCGGGGTGCTGGTGTGTTCAGAGAGTATTGGGGCAATGTCAGGGCGACCGCAGAATCGTTTGTGGACGGGCAGTGGTTTGTAACTGGCGATGAAGCGGTAAGGGAACCGAATGGCGTCATACGCATCTTGGGACGAGCCAGTTCGGATATACTGAAAACGGGCGGATACAAGGTGAGGCGGGGTTGGTGTGGGGCGTATACTTGTGGTCATCTAGTTGACATACCCGGAACAGATGGCGGGTGTAGGAGTACGAGACCGGCGTGGAACTATACCACACCGAGATGAGCCAGTTTTTAGATGACGAGACCGAGTAGAACGCCTGATATGTGTATGTTTGTATCTTCATGTCATAGCTGTTTTCGCGTTGTCAATGCATATTCAATTATTTTGTATATGTTTCTCTAAGTTTGTGGTGTCAAGGAAGGTTCTGGAGATACTGATTGTGTGTGAGCTCTGATTAAATATATAGCGAATGTACCGAGCAAGGAAATTAACTTGCTAGATCTTTTAGTGATGGAAAACCCACGGGTTATACAACAGTTGCATGAATGATAAATCATGTACACCCAAATAGTTTACAAGATACGGAACACATACTCTATCGCCTATCTACCCCAGTTTTTCATCAAGGAAGGCTCAGAAGTGGAGGATGTGTTGCTACAGCATCCAGTGGGGCTGGTGTGTGATGTAGGATATCTGCATCTGCCTCATGCAATACAGGCCATACTCTTGTATAGCGTGCGAGAATGAATAAATACTCATAAGCTGCTTCGCTCTGAACTTGTTTGTTGCGTAGGTAAGCGCCTTGGAAGTGGAGAATGTCCTGTTAGAGCATCCAGAGGTGAACGAGTGCGTGGTCTATGGCACTCCTGACGAAGTATGGGGCGACCGGATAACTGCGATGGTCGTGCAGCACAACCCCGTATGTCTGTTCAACACTTAACGTTACACAATGTTGCTCATTGGTTGACTGAGTATTCCTGTGACTGTGATGGGAGATTAATATCAAACTGAGATTGAACGAGCTTGTTGATGGAAGAATAAGAATCCTGTTGGATATGTAAGATTCGGTTAGTGTATACAGAGACATCCAGTGTGTATGTTAGGCTTAGCTTTAACTTACTTACACTTCACAAGCGACAGAATCTATTGCATACGACACTGGTTCAGGTACATTTATGAACGGGATATTAGCAATGATTTATACACTCACTAACTAACTTTGTTTTTGGTTCGGTGGTGTTGTCAATTGTTATGCAGAAGCCTGAACTAATGATTGAGGACCTCCGAACTTTTGCCAAGTGCAGGTAAAGTATTGCGAGCTTCCGTTTCAGACCGATAGTGGCTTGTATTAGGGACACTGTGCGCAAATGTGCATTGCTTGTACGCCTATTTTGGCTTTGAGAAACTGTAGACCTTTAGCACCAACAGATGAAGTGTGCAATTGGTCGCACGTATGCGCTAAGTTAGCAGTTCGGTTTCGATCTCCTGTGTGTAGCACGCTGAGCAAGCTGTATGGAAAATTATGTAGGCAGCTCCAAGCTTACGCGCCGTCTGCTTTTAAGTATATGTGATTGTGGGTTTGCTTGGTTTCGTTGATTCATGCAATATTATTTGATCGCGCTTGTTTATACGATTATTATCACTCTAACTCGAAGGCTTTTACTTATGAGGACCTCTTTTTTTTGCACCAGGCTGGCTGATTACAAATTACCATCCCGTCTCGTCTTGAAGGAAACGATACCTCGCAATGCTATGGGAAAAGTGAACAAAAAGGCGCTTGTGAAAGATAAGGCAAACTGGTAGAGGCTGGTTATAGACCTGGGTGCACGAACAATCTTCAATACATACATGGTGAACGCTGACTTTTAATGACTTGAATAGAGATGATTTTTCTGGTCCGAAATGCTGATAGTAGGATACAATGGGGAGGGGAATTACTTACCACATTGTTATCCAATGGCTGAGGTCGCTCTGCAGATCCCGACTATTCTGTACCTTTTTGTAAAAGTCTATATAAGGTAGATCCTTCTCCATCCAGAATCAATGGTCTTTTGTATTATCTGATTTTTGGCCGCATGCCATCGATTCTCCTGTGTTTGCATAGGCGTGCGAGGACACCACGTTTGAAAGTCGTATTCAGTTTCAGTACTAGTATTGCCACCAAGTCGTGGGAATAGTAGATGATTCCGTAATGAAGCATTCATTAAACCAATATAATCAGGTTGCTGTGACCCGCAAAGACAACCAAACTTAACATACTTCGTACAAATATACCCTTGTATAGTTTCTCCTGAGTCATCGATTTCATTGCGAAGATTCTTGTGTGGTAATTGATACCATTAATGCCAACGATGTTTCTTTAATCTTTTGGGTACGTCATTTCTCTAACTGATTCACAAACCTGAACGCTCCGAACTGCAGGCACAGAACAAATAAGCTCGTACCCAACATCACGGCAATACCACCCAAACTCCCCTTTGAGTGTTCTATGCAAACTACTTCGCCACTGTATTATCATAGAGATGTACCACAATCGTCTGAAATCCACAGTAGAAAGCACTAAGGTATTGAATCCACATAACCTATTCTGGTGTACTCGAAATATTGGTACTCCAACCGTTGAAGGCTGATACCATCACAAACGGCGAAGCGAATGACGAAGTGGATGGATGATAACATATCAGACTCGATACACAAATACTCCACAAGTATGAAAGAAACTGGAAATCCAGCTAGACAATACCATCTCATGATAAGCAGAAGCGTTCCAGATAAGACGCAGGGGGCAATTTTTTGGTATAGAGTTAGACGTTATATATGACAGGACATCGAAATGGTCCTCGGCGCGTTCGTTTTGGAAGCTTATTCGGGGTGCGATCATAGCTGGGGCTGGGTTTAAGGGTGTCAAACTGGTTACAATCAGCAAGACAAACAGACAACTGATAATCAAAAGAGTAGCATTTGACATATCCGATGCCGGATTGTATATATCGCTGTTGACAAATCCCAGCAAGAGTCTCACGACGGAATTTTGTATCAGCAAGGAAGTCGAAACTGTCTGTATCTCCGCAGAAACATCAGCGTGCATGTGCTTGCATAATATAATATAAAATAAATCCGTATAATGTGGTCCACATATTGATACGCACATTTGTCGGCATGAAGTACTCCAAAGGTTCAATGCGTGTTCTTGATGCTGCACTAAGCGCGACGTTCGGCCTTAATGTTAGCATCTCGATCTTTTGCCAACATCAACGATTCGAAATTAGACATTATTCACTACTTCTTAATACATTTATGTACACATATGAAAGTCGGATTTACGGTCGCAACATACAGTTGATATAGATTTTCAGGAATTGTATCTGTGCCACATTTGAAATCGCTCTAGATCGACGTGCTTATGAAGTACAATATGCTTTTGTTGCAATATTATGTAAAACTATCGTATTCGTTGACGCCAAAATTATCGCCCCAATTGATTCACATACTTAAAAGCCCCGAATTGTAGATATTGAAACACTATTGACATACCTAACATATAACGAGACCACCCCAATCACCCCAATCGGTGTTCAAGGCGAACTGTTTCGCCACAGTGTCATCATAAAGATGTACCACAATGGCTTGAAATCCATAGTAGAAAGGACTGGGGTATTGAATCCATGCAATATATCCGGGCGTACTCGACGTATTTGCACTCCAACCGTTGAACACGGCGAGAAGACCGACCACACCACCCGCTAAGCTATTCCCCATAGCAAGCGACGTAGCACATGCTGATGTGAACGATACAATTGACTCGACGCATATGTACTCCACTACTACCACCGCGAATACAAACATCTTCTGCGAGGCCGAGAAACCAACCAGCCAGTACGAGCTCATAACTACTATTAACGACAGCATTTAAAGCAGTCAAACTGGCCACAACCAATACGAAGAAGATATATGCGAATTGATATTGAAATCTGACGAAATTCAATGCATCCATGGTCGGAGTGTACACGTCTTTGTAGACAATTCCCAGCAGAAGTCCCATAACCACGTTATTTGCTATAATTGTCATGATCTCATCGGCGTCCCTGAAGAATAAACGGAATTTTCGCTTCTGGAGCAAGCAGTGCTGTTGGCCCCGGGACAGTGTATATTTAGACCGCTCGCGACCGTATCCCACTTTCATGAGCGACTCCTTCATTGTATCTCCTTTGTCGATCACATCCAAATTATTGATCAAGGCCGGATTTATGTGCTTGTTGTACTGCTCAACAAAGAACTCGGGGTTTGCGCCATCTTACCCAGGTGTGACTATAACCAGAAAATGATCAGCTGGAGTGGTGTACTGTGGAACCGGATATCCAAGTTTTGCGAAGTAGTCCTGTGCTTCGCCTCGAGGGCCGTTATACACAGCCTTTCCTTCGGACAGAAGCAGAAGGTGATCGAACATGTCAAAAACGCTGCTCTTAGGTTGATAAATAACGACTATGAATGTAGTTCCTGTTAACTTTGCCAAGTTTTTCAATGCTCGCACGCAAGTCTGTGCACCAGTCGAAAAAAGACCACTGGTAGGCTCGTCTAAGAAAGCAATTCCCGGCCGAGTGGTAAGACCTTTTAGAAGTGCCAAACGTCTACGTTCATCACCGCTAATACCTCACTTCTAGCCATCCCCAATATACGAATCCGCAACGTGCGAAAGTCAGACAATTTTCAGCAAAAACTCCAAGTGCTGTTGTCTGAGCCCAGCGTCCGTCTCGTCCTCGGTATGAAATGCTCTCATACGTTAAGCGAACATTGCCGACTCACGAACTTGAACCATACTCAGCTTGTGGTACATAGCTAGTCATTCTATTAAAAAATTTATCAGGTGCGTGCCCATTAATAGTGATTTCTCCAGAGTACGGCAGGGTCTTTTTTTTGCGGAAGTATATCCAATAATGTTGATTTTCAGCTACCACTTGGTCCCATTATTGCCACCAGACTGCCAGGCACGAAGGAGCCTGATATCGAATGCAGTATCGTTTGCTCATACTTGTTACCCGCTGCATCGTGTGTCTTCACCTTAAAGCTCAGCTCTTTGAACTTCAGTTCCATAGCAGGGAATACGCCTAGGTCATCAATAACATTTGTAATATCTTCGTTCACGTTCCCTTTGATATCAATAATCTCTTCGATAAATGGTATAACATCTGAAGCCTCTTTGTCATTTTCGTATTTATAATCCTGTTCCCTGTTATGCAACATAGCTCGGTATAGCTCCACCGCCAGATGCGTTGTGCCATTCCAACCTTCGCCAGGGCCGTGGGAGAGGGAATTGGTGCTATGCACAGATGCCCGTCGCTGTCTAATGTAAGAGCTAGGAGATACATATACCGATGAAACCGATCTCGATGCTTTGCTAGTAGCCTCCACTATATCGATGCTTTGCTCTTAGCCTCCACTATATCGATGCAAACATTATCGTTCATGGCAGAAGGTATTGTTATCACATTTTGGTTCAAACTATATTTTTGTCGTGTGTGGTTCTTTTGTCAAATAAATTATAAAGAAGTGCTGTGATCTAATGTATTCTGTTGCTACGTTTAAATATATACAAATTTTTGATGTCAATGAATACTAACCACCAACGTCAAGCTAAAGGGAGTTATTTCGTCAACACGTAGGTCAAATGACTTTAAAAAAAAAGAAAAAGAGGTATGAAACGGAAAATCGGAAAATCACAACCGTGAAGTTGTGAGCTTGTGAAGTAAGAAGTTTGAACCTTATTAAAATGCAGTCCTACTACTCCATAGCCTCTTCTAAATAAAAACAAGGCTATTTATGTACGTCATTGTACAGAATGAGATTTCAGATTAACGATTATGAGACTCGAACTAACATTTTATTAAGACGCTATGCCAAAAATGGATATAAATATTTTATCACTGAAAGGCAAAGCGTAAATACATATATTTAGTTACATAAACAATAGAAGTCCCTTCTCATCCCACTTATAAAATAACAAAAATAAAATGTGTCACAGATCTAGTCACGCTACAAGCCATATTAGGTTAAACGTTTCCCATTCCAACGCATAGAAACGGTTCCCATCCAAAATTTTACTGCTTCTTTTGTGCGTTTAATACTAGGTTTGTGGTTTATATTTATACTGTAAATATGTAAGAATTTTAGTTTATTTTATTTTTAAAAAACAAATAAAAATGCGTCTGGACTCTGGCGAACTGGCGAGACCTTGTCTCCGGCTCTCCGCGAGAGTGCGAGACCTAGAGTCAAATTTTTACTCTCTAATAAATATGTACCTTGACCCGATCTAGCTATTGATAAAATATGTTGCTATCAATCGAATAGAGAGAAATCTGAAATCTGAAATCTGAAATCTGAGATTATCATAAACTCATCGATAGATTCGATACCTTGAATTAAATAATGATGTATATTTGTAAATAAATAAATAAAAACGATACATTCGTTGCATTGTGCCGTATTTATTTATTATTTATAGCTATTTATTATTTATGTAGTATTTAAATAGTTTATACAATATTACAGCTAGCTATAGGTGTACGTTTTACCACTAAAAATCCGTAGAATTTATAAAATAACCCAAAAAATAGGGGAAGCTCTAGAGTTTTCTGGAGTCGAGCCCTAGTCTAAATACTATTTAGAGCCCTCCTGCCTCGTGCCTGGCGTCAACACTCAACAGTCCGACATCCGACGGACAAAGATTACCCCAGTTTCGCGTAAGCCGCATCCAGTCCACTCGCAAAGGTAGGTCGATATTTATAGGCCCACATAAGGCGACTTTGGCCCAAGTACCGAACTATTAAGCGTGTACACTGCAAAAAAAATCTTTACCGATACAACAGTCAAGTATCAGTTTTCGGTACAAAATCTACACCTATCACCTGAAATAGAATAGAACACCTCAGACTAGAGAGCCAATGTTCTGATAACCATGTGAGCGTGAATTCGTGGATCCATACTTCAGAATTTTATAAAAAAGTATCGTTTCATAGCCTTCTTCTCAATTATACAAGAGAAGGCTATGTATGATCGTGCACTGTAGTTCAACAATGTTGAATTTTGGTTTGTCCCGTTCTGTTTGTAAATTTCAGGTCCCAGGGACTTTGTCCTGTTCTGTGATTTCATTAACCGCCAATTTGTTTTTTAGAACATAAATTCAAAAAAAAATTCACTCGGTTCATATACATAGGAATATCAGGGCTCGGGCGTTAATACTTTTATAGTGACGGGTGCAGTATATACAAAGTCTGACTTGTAATGATGACGGTTGACCACGTTTTAACACGATAACACATGGTACGGTTTAATATAAGCCCGATGGGATCATTCTTAGAATGCACTTTGCGAATGAACTAAATACGTCAAAATGAAAGTGACAAAAGCTGCTAGATATATGTACCGATATCTCTCAAGTGTCTCAACTCTCAACGCAAACGCATCTTGTCACTTGTGTTTACGATGTTTTGTTCTTGGAGTAAAACAATTCTTAGAATAGATTTTTTATATATAAAAACTAGTAGACGTTTTTTTGTTGCATCAACATTAGGCGCGTAAATATGTAGTATTCCGTGGCGGTATGTACCATATCAACGCTGGCGGCTGCAGTAAGCTGGTGGTAGTATCGATAGTTATCTGCCAGATGTGGTGAACGAACGATTTGGTATCAATGCAGCATCTTCCAAAAAATACTTAGCAGCCATCCTGCTAATAGTATTGTGATCATGCGACGTGTTGTCGCTAGCCCCGCTGAATTTACATGAACTTCCGGTCCGTAAAGAATCGATATTCAGATGCAAGCTACATATTTTGATTTATGTGTATCGCTTCCACCCTACATGTGCGGATACACGGAAGCAATTTGATAGATATCTGAATAGATAACACGTTGAATGTGAATTATATCACACGAAAAACGTGGTTAGGATTTTTAACGACCTAACTCGGTAGTCTAGTGATACACAGTCTAAGAACCCCATTTTTTATTCTCTAGCTGCTACAACCTAGAATATTCTTCCGTGATAGAAACTTTAGCTTTTGATCGATCATTTAAGTACAATACACTGGCATCTACTTCTAGGTTTGACGTCAAATGTACAGTTTTTATTTGTATACAGTACTAAACGAGCCCCATACTATCGCTCGAGCTGATTGCAATATTTCAGCGCCCAAAACTGCAGGTATCTATAGAATATGGTCATAGCCAACATAATAACAATACCACCCCAAACTCCCCAATCACTGTGCAAGGCATATTGTTTCGTCACTGTCTCATCATACAGATGAACCACAATTGCTTGGAACCCATAGTAGAAAGGACTGAGGTACTGAATCCATACGACATACGTCGGTGTACTTAAACTATTTGCACTCCAGCCGTTGAATAACGACAGAATACTGATGACGGCGCCCGCCAGGCTATTCGCCATAGCAATCGATGTGGCACACGATGACGTGAAAGATACTATGGATTCAACACAAATGTATTCCACCAATACAATCGCAAATACAAACATTACTTGCGAGGCAGGGAAACCAGCTAACCAGTATGAGCTCATAACGAGCACAAGTGTTCCAGTTATAGCGCAAGTAACGAAGGTAGTTAAAAACTTTGAGATCATGTACGGCAGGACATCGTAGTAACCCTCCGCTCGTTCGTTCTGGAAGATGACACGGGATGTGAGCATAGCAGGTACCGAATTCAAGGCTGTTAGACTGGCAACGATTAATACAAAAAAAATGTATGCAAATTGATAGCTGAATCTAGCTGAATTCACTGCGTCCAACTTCGCACTATAAACGTCTTGATAAACAAGTCCCAAGAGAAGCCCCATGACAAGATTATTCGCTAGGATGGTCAAGATTTCGTCGGCATTCCGGAAGAAAAGGCGGAATTCGCGCTTCTGGAGCAAGCAGTACTGATGCCATCGTGACAGTGGAAACTTAGAACGTTCACGCCCGTGCCCTATTTTAACCAGTGACTGCTTCAGCGTGTCTCCTTTGGCAACCACATCCAAATTATTTAGAATGGTCGGATTGATATACTTGGCATACTGTTCAATGAAAAACTCTGGATTTGCTCCGACCTGCCCAGGTGTGATTATATCTAAAAAGTGATCAGCCGGGGTCGTGTACTGTTGAACAGGATAGCCGAGTTTGGTGAAGTAATCCTGTGCTTCCGAACGCAAGCCATTGTAAACAGCTTTCCCTTGGGATAGAAGCAAGAGGTGGTCAAACATTTCGAAAACGGTGCTTTTGGGTTGATGAATGACTACTATGAAGGTAGTTCCAGTAAGTTTGGCTAAATTCTTCAAGGCTCGCACACAGGTCTCCGAGTCCGTTGACGAAAGGCCACTGGTTGGCTCGTCTAGGAATGCAATGCCCGGGCCAGTAATGAGACCTTTCAGAAGGGTCAACCGCCTGCGCTGACCACCACTGATACCTCTTGTCTGCCCATCTCCAATAAATGAATTTGCAATATGCGAAAGGCCAAGAACTTTAAGAAGGAAATCAAGGTGCTGTTGCCTGAGAGCGGCATTGGCTTGGTCTGCCTTGTAATAAGCTTTCATTTTGGATGCAAACATCGCTGATTCAGACACTTTGTCCAGTCCTGAACCGTAATCTGCCTGTGGCACGTAACTAGTCATCCTATTAAAATACTTATCGGGTGAGTGTCCATTGACTGTGATTTCTCCTGTATAAGGTAGTGTTTTCTTTTGGGACAAGATATCTAGCAGAGTTGATTTTCCACACCCACTAGGTCCCATTATGGCCACGAGACTACCTGGTGCAAAAGCTCCTGAAATTGGATGAAGAATAGTTTGATCATACTCTCGCGCTGTCACCCGGAAACCAAGTTCCTTGAACTTCAACTCCATAAGAGGGAACATCCCTAGATCACCCGCAGACTTTCGGATATCCCTTCCCGTGACTTCTAAGAATTCTTTGATAAAGGGTAGGATATCTGCGGTGTCCTTGTCATCCTCGTACACATAGTCTTGCTCTCTGGACCGCATCAAAGTTCTGTAAAGCTCTACCGCTAAGTGAGGTGTCCCATTCCATCCTTCGCTAGGCCCATGCGTAAGCGCATTAATGCTGTGCGAAGAATTCTTTCGTTGCCTCTCCTGAGAATTGGACGATGCATATACCGACGCCGAACTCTCGTGACCTTCCCTTTCCGTGCTCTGTGGAACTCCAATCTCTTCGGTCATATCAACGTATACATCCTCACCGTTTGTGCCTTTTATCTCAATAGTTGCGATTGTCATAGTTCGATTTCTGCAGTGTTATGATGTTTCAGAGGAACTCCAGTTGCGTCTTTATAGATCAAGTTGAGCGCAGCTGTTAATCTTTGGGATGTTTATATACTTTTGTAGGCGTCTATATATATGAATCTATCTACTAAAAATTCAAAATTGAGTATGATATTGTGTACAATTTGTTTATAAGTACCTATGTATGTATGAATGTTCTGATCTAAATTTTAAACTTCAAGAATTTCCCCTCTACTCTGGACTCTTAGAGTCAGGACTCTGGCCTCCCCGGTCTCCGGCAGGCTCTGGTCCTGCCGTCTGGGATTCTGGGCCCTTGCCCCCTGGGGCCTGGGGCCCTGGGCTCTAAAAATAAAAACAAAATATCGGAAATTGAATGGTCAATGACGAAATAAATAATAATTGAAATATCAAATAAATTATAACTTACTTTTGTTTAGCTTTTACTAATTTTTAGTATTTTCTCCATGATGTAATTATTTACAGCACTATAAGTTACTTCCGTCTGTACTCGCTATACGTTTTTATTTTAGGCATATATTAGGCATACATACGCCGTAAACAGCTTTTTTATAAAATAAAAGGACAATGTAGTTTATACTCTAAGAGTCTTACTCTCATTTATTGAGAGCAAAGGAGTAGATAGATTGACGAGAACAACAAGTGCTGCTTGACCAGTGAGTAGTCGTAGCGACCACGCCGACAGCCTCTGGTCTACTCTGGTAGTGGCTTTGGGGCTTGGGGCCTTGGGCCTAACCTCATTACGTTTCCCGTTAAAACGCAAAAAAAACAAAAAACTAAGTGTTTACGTTCAAAGTTTATTCTAAATATAGTCCTATGGGTTTATAAATAGGTACATTTTTTTAGGCGGCCTAACTGTCACAAATTGCCCTAATTTTCACTGTGTTAATTGTGAATAGTTTCAAATCGCCTTTTCATTAAAAAAGGTCAATTTATCAGGTGCAAATTAGGAAAATTTTCATGGTCGATTTGCCCCCGATATACTTTAAACCGCTTAAAAACAAACCTTTTTGCGTTTACGTTTAAAGTTTATCGCATATAGGCAAAACGTATTGAGCTTAGCCTTGGGCTTTCGCCAATGCCAAAAGTGGAAAGTCATGTCGTTTACGGTTTACCGCAGGCCAGCTTTTCCCTTTTTACCCTTTGACTTTTCGTTTTTAAAAACTGTTGACTCGTTGAGTGTTGACTGTCGAGTGTTGACTGTTGAGTGTTGACTGTTGACTGTTACACAGTCCAAGATTCCAAGACTCCAAGTTTAAAGTGAGAGTGATAGTATTCAGTATTGACAGTTGCGAGTTGTGTTGCGAGTTACGACTACTCAGCAACTCTAGAGTAAAAGCTAACCTCAAATCGTTTTCCGTTAAAACTTATTATCAATCGAATATATATACGTTTACGTCCAACTTTTATTTCATATGCGGGCCTTTGTATACTAATAGATGCAACTGGCGGGTCATTTAAGTGTGTACTATTATATTAGAGGTTATGTCGGCCCTTCTGATCTCATGATAATCGTTATAATGTTTTAAAATTGAATAAATATACGTTTACGTTCAACTTCTATCCCATACTCCCATAACGATATGAGCTTAGCTTAGGTAGATAGTCAGTAGTATGTAAATTACTGTAAATCAAATTGTTTTTATTTATTGCAATTGACTTTCAGACTTTTACAGATTGTATTTTGTTTTAAAACAAACAAGAGCCACTCCTGCGATAAAAATATGTTTTACTCCACTTACAAATGCCACAGAGTGAGGCTGTGAGCCAACTTTTGAAAATGGAGACAGAATCTGGTATCGCACATTACAAATTTACAACCTATTTAAAGGAGGATAGAGAAAGTCACAAAGGGTAGTTTTTAAAGACGACCTTCCGAAATGCAGTTATGGGGTACAAAGAGAGAATTAGTATTTAATGTTGTCCGGGGTTCAGACAAAATACATAACAGAGTAAAATGATGCATGAAAAATACCAGCTTATTGTTTATTCCACACCAAGCTGACATGCTCTAGCCATCTTTTATGCTATTGTAAACATACACCAGGATTACTAAAGTTGAATACTACTTCCCAGTTATCGAGTTGCTTGCATTAGTCTCGAATCCTCGGGTATAATGAATGGTGACACATCGGCAGACCGGAACCTGCGACAATAAAATATGTACGACCGGAGGTTGAGAATTAAATTGAAAATCGACTTGCCCTATGATGGAGATCATTGTGAGTATGTGATGTAAATTGGTGTGATCATTACCTGCGAAATTTAAAAGCGAACTAGCAAGTTAGCTTTGATGAGAAGTACGTGACGTTGGGAACAACTAAATGATACATAGGTTGTTGGTAGTATACATTTACTTATACCCGCGTTGCTGGTTAAAAATATCTTTAAACTTCACAAACAGAAATACACACACGCAATTGATAGACACAGAGTAT